CCCCCCCCGGGGCTGCGGAGGTGGAGGGCTGCACCCGGGTGGCTGCAGGGCTGGGACCGCTGCACGGGACGGGGGGAAAAGGCAAGTCTCTGGCTTGAGGCTCAGGACTCGGTGAGCGGATGGGTTTGAGAGGTGGGCAGAGGGCTGTAAAATAGGTTGGGTTTAAAATAATATATATTATCTGTCTAGGAACCGTAAAAAGGGGGGAATCAATTACATCTCCCTATGATATACTCTCACTTGCTAATAAAATGGGGACACTCTGTTAACCAGTTCTGTACTTGCTTTGTCTTATATATCCATACATTTAAAACATAAAAAAAAAAAGACTACTTGAATTGTATTCTATTTCGTGGTTTGGAGGGGAGGGCTAGGGGGACTCTTGAGAGGGGGAGGATTTTAATGTATAATCCTTTTGTTTGTTATTACCTTGCAATGTTGAGCCATGAAGCCTTTGTTTAAAAAAAATGGCACTGCAATACACGACAAAGAAAATCCTTTATTTATTTTATTAAATATATATGGAAAAGAATGAAAATCGGTCCAAATTAAGAGGGTGGGGGAAGGGAACTGGGTGGGGTGGGGAAGGCAGAATAAAAACAGAGCAATTACAAATAATTGACTTTTTTTTTCCTTTTCATGTGTCTTTTTTTAAAAGAAACCTAGTTTTTATTTTTTAAAAAGAGAAGTAAAAGCTTTCCTGGATGCTTTGTACCAAAAAAGAAAAAATGAAAAAAAAAAAAAGAAAATCTGTTAAGCAAATAAATATCCATCCAGAATATGAAGCCTGACTTTTTCTTTTACTTTTAATTTGTTTTTGCTCCTGGGGTGAGAGTTGGTTGGGAAGAAGGCCACACCAAGCGCCACTCTTCATGGAGGAACAGAGTGCGTTGCAGCGCCTGGGGCTCAAACCTGCGAGAGAGGCTGAGGTGTCCTTAAACACAACCCTGAAACCTCAATCCCGCGGTGGATGCCCCCCGGACCCACCGAGATAAATATGTGCCCAGTGAGTCTTGGTGAGGCTTGGGGGTGTTTCCCAGTGGCCGTTGGGATTTGCTTAGCTTTTACTGGTTTGGGCTGTTCCCATAGACCTGAAAGGCGGACGGGAGCTGAAGATGCACCAAAGGCAAAAAGGAGAAAAAAAATGTTGTATCTAGGTTAGGTTTCCTGGTAGATGGTGCTTCTCTGGTTTCTCAGGGTAGATATAGCCTCTCAAGTTTTTAGGGATCCTGATGAGCTGCTTTTCATCACATATAACCGTCGTGCACCAGTGCAAATGGGAGGTAAAATACTGTGGGTCCAGTTTGATAGTAGAGCAACTGCTGGGCAAAACAGTGCCCAAGCACCCCTAATCCCCCAAATCAGCCAGACACTGCATTGCCTGCGCAGTCCCACTGGCAAGGCCAAGACCTCTGTCCAGCTGTGGGGTAAGGGACTTGAGTAAGGACCTCGCCGGGCCCAACCTCCTGCCCAAGACAACTTGGGCTGGAAAAGATTTTCCACCTCAAAAGTGGAGTTGCTGATTTAGGCACTTAAAAATACATGTTTTAAACCAGTTTCTTTTTAAATTTTGCAGAAAGCAAAAAAAATTTAATTTTTCCTCAGAGAGGTTTTCCTCTTGGGATTTTTGTGGTTGGTCAGGAGAGTTTTTGTACAGATGCAGGGCTGGCTGCTTCCTTTGGACATGTACTTTATTGCAGGTGGAGAAAGGATATGACTGCCTTCCTGTCTCTGTCCCGCCACCCACCGCAGACCTCTGGTTTTCTTTGCGCTAAAAGGTGTCCCTATGAAGGGTGAGGACTGACTTTGTCGCGGCTTCTGGTGGCCACTGCTGGAAATTTTGCCTTTGGGAGCTTTGGTCCCTTTCTGCTCTTTGCTGTGTAAACCGATATCATGGGAGATATTTAGAGATGATTAAAAACCAAGCAAAACTTCAGCTAAATCTCTTGCCTGCGTCTCCCAGGGAGCAAAACAGCGATGCTGGAAGCACCGTAAGGGTGATGATGCTATTTCCAAGCACGGCTCATCTTTAACCCTCCTTTCTGCCTTATCCTGTCACGAGTCACCATGGGGCCAGACCAGAGCAGCTCATTTTTTTGGATACCAGGAGACTGTTCAAAATGTGCCATCCTGCCTTTTGGCTTGGCAAGGACTGCCTTCACTTGCAAGGAGAGACCCAAGCAGCCATAGGGACCTCTGATCCTGGTTCTGGCTAGTGGGTGGGAGAGTAAGTGAAACTGGACCTTTGCTTCGGCTCAAGTTTCTTCTGTTGCCTGCAAAGCCTCTTTGCAGGCCAGCAGATAAATTACAGGCTTAGCTTGGAAATCCCAGACTGCAGGCTTGAGAACAAACCCAAGATGCCATGTTTGCTCAGATGGATGGGCAGAATTGACTCCGATTTTTGTTATGATGCCTCTGCACGCAGACACAGCTCCAAGTGCTTAGCTGCTGGATTGCAGAAGCATGGGAGGCTGCATCAGCGACCGGCAGTGATCCCTGGGGAGGGACAACTGGCAGGTCTGGGCAGCCAACACACCTCCACAAGTCCAGCCCAGCTTGTCCAGGGACCTTCACCTGCTGCTCTGCTGACATGCAAGAGGGTGTGGAGGCAAAGGATAATTTCAGCAGAGAAGTCCAAAACACTGTCTAGTGCCTCAGTGACTGGGAAAGTCACCGCCTTGTCGTAGCCCAGCCCCAGCTCTGGCCCCTGGGTCTCAGTATTATCATATAGCTCTGCAGGAAGCAAAGGGCAAATGGTTTTTGCATAAAGCATCTCTTCAGAGGGCATTTTCCCAGTGTGATACACACGGGGATACTGGGAAAGAGGGAAGCTGCAACTTGCTGTACAGAAGTGGCCACAGTCTTTGCAAGGTATGTAAATCAGTGTCTCTGGCTTTGTCTGGGTAGGGCGAGATACGGGGGAAAAAAACCCCACCAACCAACACATACTTTTTCCTTTTTTTTCCCCTTCTACATTATTTCTTAGCTTTTTTTATTCAGAAAGCAGCTGAGCTGTTTTCCTAGCTTTCAGTGAGTTGTACTAGTGCCATTGGGATGGACTGAGCCTCCAAACTGGTTCCTCTACCTCTGTATCTCATAGCAGCTTCATCCCTTTCATTCTGCCTGCTCTTAAAAGCTCAGTCTTTCAGTGATGTATCTAGCTGCACTAAATGAAGGGAAGAACTGTGTTTGTTGTTTCTTAAAATATACCAAATTTCCTTGTTGCTTGTATTATTGTCCACTGATGTTTTACATGGCTGTGGGGACGCCTGGGAAAGGTGTTGATGTATCATGGATTATTTCACTTGCGTGCACTCAGCAGCAGGCAAGACTCAGACAGCTTCTGCACCTATTGCACTTCTCATTTGTAATGCAGTATCAATAAAGCAAAGCAGTTATAACAACCTTCTGGCATCTGATATCTTTTTTTCCCCCCTACTTTATTTATTTTTTAGAGAGCAAGTGAGCCGTAAAACTCCTCGAGGCTGGAGGAGCACAGGAATTCTACAGCTCCCAGTGCAGGCGAAGGAGGAACCCCGGTTTGCAAAAATAAACAGACCCCATGTCCTAGGAGGGGTCTGTCATTGCCACCGAGGGGCTGGGGGTGGCTCTCACCCCCTCAGGGCACTGAAGGATGCTCTGGCTGTCAGCGGGCAGCACACTGTGGCAGACATGACTTCAACCTGCCGGAAAGGCACAGGTCCTTGCAGGAATCTTGGCCTGCTTTGCTGCTGCGTTCCCAGCTGTGCATGTCCTGAGGAATGCACTTGCTCATTAAAATCATGTCAGCATTTACAGAGAGCCCTGCAAAAG